CGCACATACACACCCCCATACCTTAGAAGCACTTGCGGTGGACAATGGAAGGTCCAGACTCGTCGTACTCCTGCTTTGAGATCCACATCTGTTGGAACGTCGAGAGGGACGCCAAGATGGAACCACCGATCCAGACGGAGTATTTACGCTCGGGAGGAGCGATGATCTTAACCTTCATCGACGAGGGAGCGAGGGCGGTGATCTCCTTCTGCATACGGTCGGAGATACCGGGGTACATAGTGGTACCGCCAGACTAGTTCAATTAGTTAGTATTTTGCTAGTACTAGAAGAGCTAAGTATGGATAATATTCTTATGAACTTACCATGACGATGTTGCCGTAGAGATCCTTTCGGACGTCGACGTCGCACTTCATGATGGCGTTGTAGGTAGTGGCGTGGATGCCGCCGCTCTCAAGACCCAGGACGCTCGGTTGGAAGAGGGCCTCTGGGGCACGGAATCGCTCGTTGCCAATGGTGATGACCTGACCGTCAGGGAGCTCGTAAGACTTCTCCAAGCTGGATGATTGGGAGGCAGTCTGGATCTCCTGTTGGAAGTCGAGGGCGACATAGCAGAGCTTCTCCTTGATATCACGGACGATTTCACGCTCCGCAGTGGTGGAGAAGGAGTAGCCACGCTCAGCCAAGATCTTCATAAGGTAGTTGGTCAAATCACGGCCAGCCATGTCGATACGGGAAATGGCGTGTGGAAGAGCGAAACCCTCGTAGATGGGGACGACGTGGGTAACACCGTCACCGGAGTCGAGAACGATACCAGTGGTACGACCGGAAGCGTAAAGAGAAAGGACGGCCTGGATGGAGACGTAGAAGGCAGGGGCGTTGAAGGTTTCGAAGACGATCTGGGTCATCTTCTCACGGTTGGATTTGGGATTGATGGGAGCCTCGGTCAACAGAACAGGGTGTTCTTCAGGAGCGACACGGAGTTCGTTGTAGAAGGTGTGATGCCAGATCTTCTCCATATCATCCCAGTTCGTGACAACACCGTGCTCGATGGGGTATCTGAGGGTGAGGATACCACGCTTGGATTGTGCCTCATCACCAACATAGGAGTCCTTCTGGCCCATACCAATCATAATACTACAGGCGGGGTTAGTGTCCTTGGTGTCCATATATCATTTTGCTTTCGTGGGAGTTGGCGGAAGGCCGGGTGGGAGAATAATATTTACCCATGATGGCGAGGACGGCCGACGATCGAAGCTATTCCATGTTAGCAGACAAAAAATAATGCAAAATGAAACCAATACCTTGATTTAGGTGGAGAAAAACTTACGGAAGACAGCTCGGGGAGCATCATCGCCAGCGAAACCGGCCTTGCACATACCGGATCTGCAGGTACGTCAGTCAGCATCGCAGAACCAGAGAAGCCTCTGCCTTCAAACATCGATAGTAGCCATAATTGTGAAATCCCACAACTCATCCCATGCATAGGCTAGAAAAGGGGCCACGCAGCGTCAAGTGATGAGATCGAGTTGAGGGCGAAGCAAGATTTCGAAGTTGTTGAGAGGGAAGTTCCGTTTGTGTAGTGCGCAAACTGGAAGGGCGCGGACACAGCAACACAAAGGGGGTGGAGGGAACTATTTCCTCCGGGGGATGAGGTGGGGAGGAGACGAAAGACATACCCATTGTCGATAACGAGGGCAGCAACTTCTTCTACACGAGTCGAGAGAGAACATATTAGCCCAGTATTTGGAAGAGTGGATAGAAAGGATAGGATGGATGAGTGAGAACCAGGCCACGGGGAGGAGGGGAAACTGGGGGCTGACAGAGCGAGAGACTTACCCTCCATTGTAAATTGAAGAGATGGCAAAAAAGGGACTACGAAAATAAAGCAGAAATAGAAAAGAATTGGATGGGAGAGGAATGGAGGGAGGAGAGTTGTGGGTGGGCGAGATGTGAGATGGGGCGAGGTGAGTGTTGGCGAATTTCGACGTTGAAGATGAGAAGAAGAGAAGAGGAAGAAGGAAGAAGAGGAAGTTTGGACGAAGAAGAGAAGAAGGAAGTGAAGTGGTTGGGTTGGGTTCGACTGGCGGGTGAGCAGCCGTACTGCGCGGTAATATTACGGCGGCCCAGAGGTTCAGCTCCCTTATATCAAGACCTCCCCCCCCTCCTGAGAACAACTGCTGCCTCTGGGTTGTTGAGCATGAAGAGGACGGCTAAGGGGGCCACGGAAGGGGGGGCATGACGAATACATGGTCACATAGAAAAAATGCCAGTGCCTATTCTATTATTATTCTATTCTCCCAGGCATACATGATTTATGGTCATTATCCCAGCTTCTGCCACCATCTGAACATTTCTTGTTTGGTTTTGTGGTTTGTGCGGACCATGCTCTTGCTCCAGCCCGTTGCGCTGGTCTGAGCGGTATCCGCACGGTATTGTTAAATTACGGTATCTTGCCATGTTGTCTAAAACATAACATGGCGGGGTTAAAAGGGACATCTACGGTACCTGTTGCGCCATACAACCTCTGCCTGCATTCCTTGTACCGCATGTGTCAACCTCCATTCCATTCCCCCTCCCCTCTCTCCCGCTCGCTCTAACGTAGTAATCTCTCTCGCGTTAAAACTATACCATACCAGCTGAACAGAATATGAAAAAATCCATCGCCAGAGGAGAACTGCGGCTTCGTGGCATATTATTATACTAGTCTACCTAGTCCGACTATAAGCCACCTCACCTTGGTCTTATTTAACTAGTTAGTTAACTAATTGACAGCTTCTTACTAATGAGAAATGAGATCTCACACCATCCCATCCTGGCCCATTCATCCATCGCCTTCCATGGAATAATATACAACATACTGCGTAGTAAGTACGCTCTCCCGAGAATCTCCACAAGGCAACCGCCAAACAAGGGACGCGCGTTGTCCGGCGGCAAAAAGAAACTCAAAACCCACCACAAAGCAGAAAGCTATCTCGGAATCTAAGGAACCTAATCCCATCCAACCTATGTACAGTTACCAGTTACATGTACAGTACATGTTGTGTTCTTGTTCTTATTGTTTGAGGCTATCTTCCGTTTGCAAGCAGAGACGTGCTCTGTTCAATTGCAAAGAGGATGGATAGTTGAGCACCACCACGCAGCCTTCCTTGGAGAGTTAGAGCCAACTGACTGTCAACTGATGGCATCTGGCTGGCTCGTCATCTCTCCCCTCCCTCCAACCATCCTTCCAATAACATCATGATCCCTTCCGCTATCACAATATACTAGATACCCTAAGCTGCTAGCAAACCGCGCCTATCTGACTGAATTCTCGGCCAGGGGAAACTAATGGCAAACCCAATATCAGAACAGGTATTAGAATATACGAAACCAGGCCCCCTCGGAATCTTTACGAAGAAAATATCTATACATATGTGCCCGCAAGCATCAGCTCCCTGATTAGCCGCCAGATGTCGAGACGTAGGATGAAGTGTGCAGCGATCCATCGGTCCAACAAGCAAGCAAGCAAAGGCTTCGATTGATCGAACAATTCATCCCAGAAACAGTATTGTGGGCCACGTTTTCATCAGTCAGACCACAAACGCCGATTTTTCCTTTACTTACTCGATATTTTATTGAGGAAGAAAAGAGGAGTGACCGTTGACACTCATTTCGTACGTTGAGCAGGCAGCAATATATATAAGCTTGATTTGGAATTTCAACCGACCTTGAACTGGGATGTACACAAACAGGCCACCGGTTAATGGCTACTATTGGGAAAAAATTCTATGAGCTCCTGAACTCGTGGTCAATTCCCCCCCAGGACGGGTGGTGAGAACTGGCTGATGAAGGAAAGTAGGTGAGTATACTGGATGGGCTTTTGAAATTGGGAATAGTGTCATTAGTGCTCTTAGAGGTTAAGAGAGTAGCAAAACATAAAGCTTTCACAATTTTATTTATTTATTTATTTATTTTAATGTCTACAGACCAGCACAAGCTTGATATATAATTTATGTTCCACTACCGCAAATGATTCATATCAGTGCAACTATCAGAAAACGTATTGAACCCTCGCTATCTGATTCAAGGATTTACCAATTAAATATGAAACATGGAGAAAAAAAAAGAAGGCCTCCTTTCAACATTGTACAGACAGTATGCATGATTGGTGATGCAGTCCAATGCGTTGGAACCACGCGGCATATTCTAGAAAAAACACCCGCCGCCACCAGCGATGAGTTGACAGGTCTTGGCATCAGAATTCCTCTTTTCTGTTCAACTAAATAACATTAACTTGCCTGGGACGAGAAAGTTATAGTACTCACATATATATCTCAGCTAAACATACTACTTTCCGTCGCTATTTGATATAGACTCGGGAAATACAGATTAAAAGATAAAGAAACCGGGAATCACAAACCGCATCCCCCTCCGTTTCTTCCCCCGCTCTCCGTTCCGCCCCTACATGTACCACCCATCCCTCCCGCCCGTCCTGCCCGTCCTGTGCTCTTCCACCCCCTCCACTCAAACCACACACACACACACATACACACACAACAATGGACGCCTCAATGAACAACCTCTTAAAATGGAGCATCGAAAACTCCGTCCCAAAAACCTCCGATGATAATAATAACCCCCCGCGGGCCCCGCGCGCCCTCTCCCCCACAGCCCTCCAACGCATCCTCCTAAACGCCCCCTCAGACGCCGAGCTGATGAAAAACGCCATGGCCGCCATCCGCTCCCCCGCCACATCGCTAGACGACAAGCTGATCGCCTTCGATAACTTCGAGCAGCTGGTCGAAAACCTCGATAACGCGAATAACCTGGGCGTGCTGGGGCTGTGGGAGCCGTTGGTGGAGGAGTTGGCGGCGGAGGAGGGGGGTAGGCGGATGATGGGGGCGTGGTGTATTGGGACGGCTGTGCAGAATAATGTGGGGGCGCAGGGGATGGTATGTTTTTTTTATTTTTATTTTTATTTTTTATTTTTATTTTTATTATTTCTATCTTTATATTTTACTTTATGAAACCATATATATTAACAAGCTCACCCTCTCTACATAACAGCTCCTCTCCAAAGCCCCCACAGCTCTCTCGACCCTCTTCGCCCTCTCACAGAACGACCCGGAGACCACCGTGCGACGCAAGGCCGTCTATGCGCTCTCATCCGCCATCCGCAATCACCAGCCCGCCCTAGATGAGCTGCTGCGACATATACCCGAAGATGTAAGGAAGGAGTTGGGAGAAGGCTTTGACGCCAGCGACATGGATGGTGTGGATAAGTTGGTTAACTGGTTGAGACGTGCTTTGGCGTAACCAGCATAGATATATCAGGATTGGGTTGTTTTTTGCCCTCCCCCTCTTGGGAGGTGGTTATGAGTTTTTTCATTGGTTGTATGATTTTATGTGCATGGGTTAGGATATATACATTGGCGTTTCGCGGGATAAAAAAATGGATAGTTAAAGTTCTTGCTTTCTCTATTATATTTATTATATACGTCCGTCTGTCTATCATGACCTACGTGTGGCATTCAAACAGGGTGTTTGATCGTATGATAAATGCATAATGTCGTATTGCCGCACCGCTATCTAGCACGCCATAAAATAAAATAAAAAATATGTCAATTAAGGGATGGATTCATACATTGAACTAAAGTCCGAGTCATAAGGATAAAATAATGACAACAATAACGGGATAGGATAAGCGCTCTCCAGGTCAAAAGAAAATCTTAAAGATCGCACCACAGACGCCGGAACAACTCGCGTGAAACGACCAAATCATTCGGGCCCAAAAGAACGAGAATTACGTGACAAGGGGAAGAAAAGAGGGACATATGGTAGCTGAAATACGAGAAAGGATTTAATCGCGATCAAAAGCTCTCCAGGAAGACATAAAACGGTTGCCTGTACCGTGATCTCGACGGCATCCTACAACGTCAGGCTGTATGTGTAATCCTCTTCCATATTCTGCGATACCCATAGCACAGCGGAGCTAAAATCCGGGAGTAATAGCAGGTGTCAGTATATGCTCACGTTCTAGGAAGAAGGGGGGGGGGGGGGTTGAGGGAGAGGGAACAGCCCACCTCATCATGATCAAGGAATTAGCGATAACATTAGCAATCCCAAAGTATACCGTTTTCAGCGGATAGTCCTTAATAACGTATTTAAGAACAAGCACAGTCTACAGATAACGCATGTTAGCCATATTTCCCCTCCCCTCCCCTCTCACCTCCAATCCACCCAACACCTCAATCAGTTAAATGGACACAAAAAGAATACATACCACACTCCCCGCCAACCCCCCAGCCAACAACGCAAAGCCCAAAAACAGCACAAAGCGTGCCTTCCACGCAACCCCATTCCCGGAATAGCTGTACGAATCCGCACTCAACCGCGACTTCTCGATGGAGTTTATCACCAGCATGCCCAGCGCAGAGCAAATGCCTGGAATCCAGTCGACGAACTTCACGTGGACGAGGCCGCCGTAGCTGCGGGAGTAGGCGGCGGCATCGACGAGAAAGAAGAAACCGAGGGAGAACTGCGAGAAATGGGTTTTCTTTCGTTAGCTGGATGGTCGGGAGCAGCCTGGCACAGGTTGGTAGAGCTGGCTGGCTGGTTTGGGAGAACAATGCGTACCAGAGCGCCGGAGGCGTAGATTCCAGCCGTGCGCGCGTTGGCGCTACTTAGCCATTGTGGCTTTGTGAAGCGGAAAAGACGGTTATCCGAGTCGTCCATGGCGGGTGAGCAAAGATGTGAGGATGTTGAAGCTTGGTGGTTGTTTGAGTCAAGGGAGCGGGGAGCGGACGGGTAATTATATGTTATCTATTTGTTTAAAGAGCGCAAAGAGAAGGATTTAAGCATATAATATCCCCTCGTATTATGTTCGGATGCTCCACGGTAAGCCTCTGTGAGTCCGCAGCGGATGTGTTTGATATCTTGTTCAGTTTGTTCGCAACCGTCAAATGGCGACGTCAGATTGATCGAGCTTGGTCACGTGCGTCTGATTGCAGTCTCCGCCGACACGTCCATATCAACTCTCACTATTATACTAGAAGTCTACTCCGCATTGGCGAATCTTGACTAAGGATACATCTTTATGAAGCGGTAGTCTAGCCTAATTTAACAGAGGATATGCCTCATCAGGAGAAAAAAGAAAGAATATATATATATTTTCGCCATACAATAGCCCCTACGTCTCGCAAAACAACCTCAATATACCATCTACAAGATCCGTAGCTTTCCCCCTTTCTAGCAAAGGCACACCCATCCCCCCCCCTGTTTCGGAAGAAGCATTATTTAATCCATTTGTCCCCGCCACTGCTGAACCTCCCGTACCAGTAGACCCATTCGTAACATCTTTCAAATACCGCCTCAGCGCGAAAGATGCCGCGCGATACGCAGCATGATACATAGCTTTGAAATCGTCGTCTTCCTCTGTATCTGGTGGAGCAGCAGCAGGGATAGCGGTAGCTGTTGAAGGCCTTGAGTACGATTGCGATGGCTTCTCCGTTTGCGCGTGGGTAGGCATTGGTGTTGGCACGGTTGTCTTCGTCGGGAGTACAACCGGGAAATCCACATCCGTCGATCCTGGTAGCGGTGGCTGTTTTGACTGACTCGAAGTGGCAGCTGGATTGTTCGTGCGCGAATTACGATGGAACCCATACAGACGCATGCACGTTAGGATGGTTCTGGTTAATAGTGTTTTGTTTGCTGAAATCGTTTCAGACGGTGATGAATAGGCTAGCTGTGGTGGAGAGGGTATCTGCCTATCCTGTTGTTGTTGTTGTTGTTGTTGCTGTGGGGCAAAGGGTCCAGGTGTGCTTCTCCAACTCGAGACACTCGCGGTCCGTGGGCGTGCACCGATGTTCGAACTGGAATCGCGTAAATGTGTCGATAACGGTGTAGCAGACGAAGATTGCTTGGGTGTCTTCGTTATCCTACTGATCGATAACATTCGTGGTTTATGTGTACTGCTATCACCATTGTTATTAATATTATTACCTTTATCAAGGAAGGATGTATCCAACGGCTCTTTCTTAATCTTCGCAATTGCCGACTTCGACAGCTGATGGCCCGACGCCAACGACAAGCTGCGCGACATCAGCTGCGAAACCGCCTGGCCACCTTTCCGTCGGACCTTCTTATGGTATTCAGTCGCTGCGTCGAAAATGCTTGCCATCCGCTTCCGTTTGGGGCATGGAGATCGCTGTTCCGGTAGGAATTCGGCATATGTCTCGTTATCGTAATCGTTGTCATTGTCATTATCATTATCATCATTATTATCAGTGAAAGAGCCTGGGTTTGGGCTAAATGGGGGAGATGGTAGGGCTTTGGCCATCGAAATGAGCCCCGAGCAAAGTGTAACGGCATAGATCCGCAATTCCCTCCCCGGAGCACTGCCTTCATTGTCATTTGAGTTTTCTAGGGTTGGATCAGGGAAAGTAGGTGATGATGAGGGAGGAGTTGGCGGCCGCTTTGAATGTAGAGAGGTTAAACCAAGCACCCCGTACACAAGGATATCCGTCACATCATTGTTAAGCGTATTGGAGGTACTACCACGTCGTTGGGGCGTTTCAACAGCTAAAAGCACCCCTGTTGGGCACTGGATAGGCAGCGGGTCATCGACGCGATCATCAGCGTCCTCGTCCTCGTCACCGACACCACTTAACAGTCTGCATTTCCACCATTCTATCGACTTGAAGTCTTTGATATGGACCTCGAGAGCGGGGCCAATTCGCGCGTAATAGGGGATAAGGGTTGGATTAACAAAGGAGCGGAGGGAGAGCCGGGCGTCCTTCTGTAGGGCGCAGTGGCTAATCAAAGTCGGATCGACCAGCAGTGAGATGCCTAGTGGACAAATGGTGTTAATATCATGAATTTCTTCAGATTCCAGCTCGGATTGTATCTTGCGCATAGCACGTACCTTTCCCATGCGAAAGATCCGCGGCACCAGTGACTTGGCCTGACCAGACTTCCATCCGGATCAGAACGCGCTAGCAAAAACTTCAACAATTGGGTGGGATGGGTTTTGTATGGAACATAATTCCAATGTGTAGATGTATCAATTTTGAAATTGTCTACCATAAATAAAGATACCTCAAAATCCCATGCACCGTAGATGTTGGAGCTTGTTGAAGTTTTTGTCTGAAACTTCGAGTTGCGATGGTCGCGACAGGTGCGACGCGATATCACGTGGTTATCAGTCGAACCTTGATACCTAGGTAGTTATAGGACTCTAAAATATAAACAGGTAGAGATCGGGTAATTGGAGAAGCGTACAAAGCTAAGACCGATATATATGTTTGAGGCGATCCCTCCATGTGTCAACCAGGGGTACATTTGCGAAAATCGAGAAAGAGTATATTGGTATTAGCATCCATAACTACAGTAGCTCGAATATGATCTTCCAGGCTTGCAATATAGCCCTAGCACAAGGCGAAACACCAAATGCATGTACACACTCTTGAAGAAAACGGTGAAACAATAGGATTAAAGCAATAACCAAGACCCCAAGAGAGAAAAGTCATAAAACGCAGAAGGAAAGAACATAAACCGTAAAAAAACAACAAATCACCGGCTCCTGGACTCGTAGGGTGAACTGTCGTGGGGTAAATAAGATGTAAGGGAAGCGCAGAAAACTAATAATAGTGGGTGAATATGGGTAAGGTAGGCGGGGATAGAGGGGGAAAAACACAGCACATTAGTCTTGGTTCTAGCCTTCTTAGAACTCTTCCTGCTCCTGGAAAAACATCGAGAAACTGATGATGGTAGTATATATCAATAGGCCACCCAGGATCGACATGACCATCGCGGGAATCTGGATGGCACCGCTATGAGCCAGAAGAGTGGGGAGGGCTATTTATTCAGGCAGACACGTTTTAAGTTAGCAGGCCACTTGAATGCAGGCAGGTCCTCAAGAGATCCAAGCAGGAGGCCTTTCGGGTAAGGAGTATCGCTGCAGCTGATGTATACAAGAACAGCATTTATGGAGGAAGTCAACGCACCAACGCCCATCACAACCAGGAAGCCAGTGCACCACCTCCCGAAATCCACCACAGCGCTCCCCGCGCTCTCCATGAAATCATCAGGGTTGGCACAGCGGCCGCATATCCAGTTCGGTAGTGGAGCGATTACATATGTGGCAACGACGAGGAGGGGGAGATAGTTATGCCATAGCGCGGCGGAGAGGATGACCAAGAGGAAACCGATTGCGAGGACCTGTTTGTTATCCAGGCGGGGAAGAGCGGTTAGGCAACTGTGGTCTATCAGATGGGGTCAGGAAGAAAGGGGTAATCGTACAAAGGAGAGGGCGATGATGGTTTTTAGTCCCGCTGCCATGATGCCTTGGAGGATGGAGGCGGGCAGGAGAGTGGAGGGAGGGGAGATGAGGGAGGAGGTGATGGTGTTTGATGATGTGAAGCCCGCTCCAGCTTCAATCAAAGGAGTATAGCGGAGAGTCCTGCAGACGCAGGCGGAGAAGTCAGAGCAGCAGACGAAATAAAATAAATGAGAATCTGTAGCAAAAGCTCAGCCCCAAGCAAGCGATATTAAATTGATTAATCCAGTTGGATGTATGCGATAGCAACGAAGCGCCGAAGCTGGGTTGTCGGATACAATACGGTACCGTACGATACAGCCACCTTTCTTACCAAATCACTGGTTCTTGGCGAGCTAACCCGATCTGGACTGAAGCTCTACCGCGTCACTGCTTTGCCTACGAGATATCAAATCCAGACATACTATTATACAACCTAAGTGACGCTGCAGCATCTAATTACAACAGGAATATCTCTGGTATAGCTGTTTTTCTCTCAGATACCCGTCCCGCAGCTACCAGTGCCTATTCGCTATGTTCAGAAACAACTACGACAACGATTCGGTGACCTTGTAAGCAACACGGACAACCAGATGCTCTCTCCATTAGATAGACCCAATTCCACTGACCAGGCAATCCCCCTTACAGCTCGCCGCAGGGTCGCATCTTCCAAGTCGAATATGCCCAAGAAGCCGTGAAACAGGGGTCAGTAGTCGTCGGAATCGTCAGCAAGACACATGCCGTCCTGGTGGCTCTTAAGGTGCGAGGCCATGCCAGACCAACCCTCCGCCCACCGTTCAATACTAAATATTAATATATTGATATATACAGCGCAACGCCGAAGAATTATCCTCCTACCAAAAGAAGGTAATCCCTATAGACCAGCACCTAGGCATCGCCATCGCGGGCCTCGCCTCCGACGCCCGCGTCCTGTCAAACTTCATGAAACAGCAATCCCTCGCCTCGAAAATGACCTACGGCAGACCCATCCCGCTCGAACACATCGTCACCAAACTCGGCGACCGCGCCCAGTCAAACACCCAACTGTACGGTAAACGGCCCTACGGCGTCGGCCTGCTCGTGGCCGGCATCGACGACGCAGGCCCCCATCTATACGAATTCCAGCCATCAGGCATGACGCAAGAGATGGTTGCTTGCGCCATTGGTGCGCGGAGCCAGATGGCGCGGACGTACCTGGAGCGTCATTTGGAGAAGTTTGAGGATTGTGGGAGGGAGGAGCTGATTCAGCATGGGCTTAGGGCGTTGAAGGAGAGTCTGTCGCAGGATAAGGAGCTGACGGTTGATAATACGTCAGTTGGCGTTGTCGGAGTTGGGAGTGGGGTGGGGAAAGGGAAAGTTGAGGCCTTCAGGTTGTATGAGGGTCTGGAAATTTCTGGGTTTTTGGAGAGTGCTAGTTCTGAAGGGCAACAGGCAGAGGCAGAGACGGAGGGGCAGTCAATGGAGGTAGACTCATGATTATATGACGATCGATGATCCTGATTTTTGATTTCTTTCTGTTTTAAATGCAACCTCCATGTTTTCTAGCCATGATTCGCTGCTTATCGGAATAGATGACGTTTTCCATCACCGCGATACGATCCTAACACTACTCACATCATAAGCTAACAATAATTGCAATTTCTGGCTATGGAAAGCAGGCATATTCTAACTAGGTATATATATACACAGGCCGGTCGTGTGCATATCTGATGCATCACGTCAACCCTGTACTCAGCAAAAGCAACACCGGAAAAACTTCATGACTATTAATAAAAGGAGTCAACCGGAGGAAACAAGGGTACTGACAAGAAGACTCCCGCCTGATCCTTACTTCCTTTAGCTCTTACTTTTAACCCCCCTTAACTAGATGCCCAATCCAGCGTGTATCTCCCCTCACTGAGCCTGTAATCCCTCAATGCCCCCAAAACCTCCTCAACACTGCGACATTCCACCAAAATGCCCTTATTCGCTTCATTCACAAATCCAGACTCCACGCTCTTCTCCACCCACTGCAAAAGCCCGTCCCAATACCCATCAATGTTCAACAACACAATCCCGCAATGATGGATCCCAAGCTGATTCCACGTAACCATCTCCATAGCCTCCTCCAGCGTCCCAAAGCCGCCCGCAAGGGCCACAAACCCACTCCCGGGACCTCCCTCCATAACCTTCTGCGCCATTATCCGTTTGCGCGTATGCATATCCGGCACAAGCGTCGTAAGGCCATACTCCGACTCCCCTAGCAACGATCCCCGCTGCTGCCCTCCCCCCTCCGCCTTGCCAGCATCACCACCATCCTCACTCATAATTACTACCCGCTCCGGCGCCTTCCCGCCCACCTGCGATTCAGCAGCTGTAAGCGATGTCCGGTATCCATTCTCGATCTTGACGAGGGCGGTGGGGATCACACCATGGACAGCCCTGGGGCCCGAGAGGGAGACTAGCGTACGTGCGAGCTCGCCCATGATGCCCCCTGTGCCACCGCCGTAGACGAGGGTGATGTTTGCTTTGTGGAAGATGTGGGCGAGGGCGCGGGCGGAGGCGAGGTGGGCGGGGGATGTGCCCTTGTGGGCGCCACAGCTGGTCAGTGCGGGTTAGTTTTTTGGTGTACATGGTATATTATTTTCTATATCGGGGAAGAGGAGATTGGTAATAATAAATATACTTACAAAACGCAGATTACGGTGGGTTTATCTGCGTTAGGATGGGTGGTGGTGGCCGCGGTGGTAGCCATGTTGGGCGAGATTTGTTTAGTATGGGGTCGCGGTATATATATTTATTTGATCGAGGGCGTAATCGCAAGGTTGCACCTCACTGCTAACTTTTTGCAAATGGCTTTCTCGATTACTTATATGAGTTTGTCTCTTTATGAGAGCTGCGGGAGAGGGTCTCGATATTGCAGATAGATGGCCCGGCGCAACGGCGACGACAACAAAGGCTTGACTCACTTCAAGCGCGGGGAATTAGCGAACAATGGATGCTAAACTTGTAGAACTCTATTATCGAGTTGGTTAAAGAAACACGGCGGCGGTGGATATACAACCCAACAATGACGGTATGTGTCCATCTATATACAGTTACCGCGCGGGGAATAAGTGTCTAGGACGAGTGGTAAGTTTCCGAAGACAGGCGGGACCTCTGGGGGCAGTCACAGGGTTCTATGGCAGCGGTGATACGGAAGTTTAGAGGCCTACTATATACATACAAGTACCATTTGTGGCAATTTTATTGGAATAGGATGAAACAGAATGGTTGTAGTTAAATGTGAAATAGCTGCGAAATTTGGTAAATATGTAAAAGAATTGTACACATTATTTAGATCCCCACCTTTTGCGCCTCTTCCGTATGTATTTCATGAACTCATGGTATATTCCCCCAATTACATAGACCCAGATATAAAACGCTCAATCTAAACGTGAGATAAAGAAGCCAACCGTCAATCAACTTTGAAAAAAAGATACTATCCACATAAATCAAGAGCCACCCGCACTCGATCCTGCAGCCAACGACGCCACCGTAGCAGACGATACCTTACTCTTCCTCCGCTTAACCCTCTCCTTCCCTCCCCCGGGAGTAGTAGGACTCTTCTCCCCTCCTCTTCCCGCCTTCCCTGCCCCAAGGGTAGCCGCATCAGTTTTGATAGCAGGCGGCGCTGCTGCTCCTCCTGTTGCTGCTGGTGTCCCCGGTTTACTCGCACCGGGCCCCGCACCAGCAGATGGGGCGGGAGTGGGAGCCTTGGATACCTTGCTACTCATAGGCTGGCGCATCCCCACTACCAGCGGCTCTGTGGATGTCTTTCCGATGATGAAGGAGCCTGGCTCACCAAGTAAGGGTGCGTCGTCCATGTATTCATCGCCGTAGCGGGAGAGGAGGTTGAACGCTTCAACGAGGCTGCGGGAGTCTTGTGTTGTTGTTGATGATGAAGCTAGCGGGGATGTCGAGGCTGTTGGTTGTTGTGTTGTTCCGGTTGCTGATAGGACGCTTCCGCCCTTGGATTGTGAGGATGCATCGGGCATGGGAGCATCGCCAACACTCTGTTGGCCGGATTGCTGTACGCCCGGGCGTGATGCTTCGAGGGATTTGGGGACGGGGGGCATGTACGTGTGGCCGTATGAAGGGGAGAAGGTGGGCAATGGGGATGCGACAGAAAGGGCTCTTGTTAGAGACGTTACCGCAGAGAGCTGCCAGGATAGTAGTCAGTTATTTATGCAAAAAAAAAAAAACTCTCCCATGGGGCACTGCAATACCATCCGACTCCCCACAACCCTCAACACCGACGGTGCCATAAACACCGAATCCCCCACAACAAAGTATGTCGCGAGCACTTGAATCTCATCATCACCGCCTGCAGCTCCCGATCCCACCCCCGTCCGCTTCTTCCGCATCTGTTTCCGAATCACCCAAATATTGGACAACTCCTGCTGCTTTCGCTGTTGTTTCCCACCCACCGCGGCGGCCGCCGCCGCCTCCTGCAGTGGGTCATGCACGACCATGAACTCCAGACCCTGCATGGTTTTCAACCGGCCCTCAAAGGCCTCGCGTGTCTCAATGAAAGGGCGGAAATTCTCATTATAATTCGCTTGGATGGCAAGGGAGGCGTTGTTTGACGTCTGGTCGAAGAAGGGCGATTCGGCGAAGTAGAAGAGGACTGTTTGGTGTATTGGGTTAGTATCTCGGTTATAGCAATAAAGGAATATAGATATAGTTATGCATAATATGTATATACCTACTGTTGTTTGAATGAAGGAAGCCACCCATCGTCTGCACATGGAGAGGAGAGCGCCAGGTGATTTCCTCCAGTGGGACCGCAGACTGGGCAGCCATGGTGAACTAGGGGGGCGGGAATTAGAGAGATATGGATCGGGGCGCTGGACGGGGAGGTTAGGATTTTAATAAATGTTGTAGAACATGGCTGGGCTGGGGAACTGTATTCTCCCGCTCGGCGCATCGCATATCAGTAAATGTGAATAAAACTGCCCGAGATAGCGGAGAGAGCTTCAAGTTTCTTACTAGTGTATCAAATATGGTAACAAGATGCAACGAAAAAATACGGCAACCTTCCATCAATCTCTAATTTATCGTTTCTGAGGATTTATCACACTGAAAGAACCAATAATTTTTTATACTAGTGTTGCAATGAGATGATACTCATTGTATTAGTAATTGAGATCTCATTGGAGATTGTATGAAATAGTGACCCACATTGAAAGAGAGCTCAATGTATCATAACCCCGGGAGCCTCTATGGGGTCTCTACACCTGGGGGGGGGGGGGGTTTCTATCCCCGGGGGATCTCTATACCTGGGGGTCTCTATACGGGGGGCTCTATACCTGGGGGGCTCTATACCCTATACCGGGGGGTCTCTCTATACGCTTGAGGAGATTCTATAGCCGGGGTTCTGAGAAATGTTGGAGAGATCGTGGGGGGTGGAAGCTCATAGACTGATTAAATCATATATAGTAACATACTAACTGCATTAGGACTAGAGTAATTCATGTCTACTCTTGGCTGCCGTAATATTCTGCTGGAAGAAGGAGGGCAAGAGAAAGCAGAGGATGAAGAAGAAGTATTAGTGAAATACATTATTTAATGAAGGAAACAAAGATAAAACAAATGCCACCCACCCAACCATCACCAGTGCAAATGCGAGGAAGCAAAACAAAAGAACAAGATCCGTTAGACTGCCGACGCCAACACCTCGATGAAGGATATCTACCTACCTAGACAAGTCAGAAGACCATCGAACGCAAGTGAGGAAAAGATTAAACAGGGAAATAGGAAATTAAAGCTGAATACCCACTCCATACCCTGCTGAACCGTGGCCACATCACTCGTGCACCTTCCCTGAGAAAACCTCCGCACACACGCACCAGCAACTATATCATACCAGAACACACCTGCGTTCTAAAAACCTCCTCACACCCCCCCCCCCCCCCAGATCTCCTCCTGTACGGGGACGTATCCCTAAAACGGCATAGTTTGCTGCAGCTTATCGACCTCCTTTAGGCACACAATTGCCGCAATCCACGGGAAACTAAACAGCCTCTGCTTTTTACCCTGCTTGTTAGTCCCGTAGCCATCTCCTGATCGACCCTGGTATTGCTGTTCCAAATTATGACGGTAACGAGTGGCGGAGGCATCGGGTTTGGATACCCGTGAGGATTGGTTATTATGCTTCCCCTCTTCTTCAATGGCGATGTAAAGGCAGGCGATGGACCGTTCGAGCGATTCCATCCCGCCCGTTTCGCGACCTTGGATCATGGCGGTGACGAATTGGACGAGCCCCTCGTATTCTGGGTTTATGATGGATTAGTGGTTTATGGCTTTTGTTGAAGGAATGGGGCATGATAGTGTATATAATAATATAGGGAACGCGGATGCGTATTGTGTCTTTGAATATAGAAAAGTGCAAGTTATGCACGGGAATCAACGTACCCTCCCTCATCTGTTTTGACGCGTCCTTCTGTCGATGGGTAATTTTCTGTCCGTGGCCCAGGATAGTGCCGACGAACACTTCATACTCGGTGATGGAGCTCTTCCATGGGGTGGAGGAGTACCGAGCCATGATTTCTAAGAGGTTATCTTCGTAACTAAATAGATAGAACGCAACAATATGTTAGTAAAAGGAGGACGAAGAGCGACAGGCAAAGAAGGTATAGCGATTTCCCTCACATACATCTGCCGAATTTCCAGTGCGTTCTCAACGTGATGATCCCACAGAAACCCTACCGTCTCACTTTGTACGAACGCCCAGACGCCCTTCAGCACACTAGGAGCAGCCATCGCCATCGAACGCTCAATGGCATTCTGCCGATGCTGAAGGAACTCCACCTCATCAATAGCCCTGTACAGTTTTCCCAGTATCTTTTCGCTTTTATAGTACCTTGCAGTCGGGCGCTCGTCTTCTTCTTCATCATCATCATCCAGCACAGTCATCTGGTCATGTTCTTCGAGCAGAGATAGGCTCTCTGCAATGCGGACGCGGGGTCCGGGGGCCTGGAAATCTGGACGGTAGCGAGGAAATTTGGGGATGCGCGCTAAGTCAACCTATTATTTTGTATAAAGTATGGGCGGTTAGCATACAATCTAAAAGATACATCGATAACAGCTTCTCAAATACAAGTTGAGGAGTTGCTTAACACAGAACGTACAGGGACCCCGCTCTTCGAGAAATCTACAGCAGTAGAATGCAGCTCCGCAAGTAACAAGCACTGTGGATCAAAAGTCCCAAGAGCCTTCTGATCTGCAATGGTTTGATGAACCGTAGCAATCCTTCCCAACTGATCTTGCTGCATGAACGTCACGAAAAAATCTATAATATCGTCGCGTACGACGGGCCGGTCAAGTACTTTTTCTTGTACGCGAGGATACTGTGCCGGGGGACTAATAACCCTAGGAATTAATGTATCTTCGAATATGACGTTGTATAGATCACCATCTAGATCTCCGCCGCTCAGCATGCTGGGAAGGTCACGGTCGCCGTGCTGGCTGAAAGCGATGCAGTTGTGGAGTTGGCGGAGCGGGGAGTCGGCGGGGACATCGACGGCTTTTGCGATCTGGACATCTCCGGGATGCATAGCTGGGGAGCGAGTCACAACAACCTTAGGATTCAAAAGCACCTCCCTGCGTCCTTTATCGGACAAACTCGTGCAGAAAATCTCTCCTTCCTTTAGGTATCCGGTCTCATCCATAATGCCAAACAGAGTCACTGCCTTAGGAACTCGGATTCGAGCGCGATATTTTAGATCTCGTAGCTTGATCAGGACAACAAGCTCCATAACTCGACGCAGGAATTCGTCATCGGAGTGGCGGAGTCCAAGGGCTTCTAGGATGCTGATAAGCCACGGGAGACCTACAGACTTTGCGATATTTGTGTCTTCCAAAAATTTCGCCGCCTGTGTAGTCGAAGTCGCTGTAGCGCGGAGTCTCAGAATCTCGTCTCGCTGTAACTTCAAGAAGACATTGCCGTCGACGCCCAGATCTTCCAGAATCTTGATCAACTGAGCATTGAGGAAGAACGGTAGCGACCTTATCCCCGATCCACATATTTCGATGTTGTAAGCATTGAAGGAGGTTGTAACGGGGAATTTAATCATGGAGGGCCTCAGAACCAGAGATTCCCCTTTGTTTCTGCTATCTAGAGAGACCATCCCTTTGGCGCCTGCTCAAAAAACAAGTTAGAGGAGAAATGAGAAATAATATCCATCCTGAACAAACTTCAAGGCTTTAAATATATAGAATTGAAAGGGGAAATAAATACCCGCAATCCTGATTTGGAAGACAGTAGGCTTCACCATTGTCCGTAGCGAGTAGTCCTTCCAGATCATATACATCACGGAGGGCGATATTGTACCAACTCCATCGCTAAAGACTCGGTCGTTCCGCCTCACGTCCTGCACTACCGAAATAATTTCCTCGGATATAGGGATGGAGGTCAAGGTCTCGGAAAACGTCTGTCCAATTCTTGCCGCCTGTTTCGCTGGAGAGTTAATATGATCAAATCGACCCAGGTTCTGAATGATAGTCGTGGCATTGTACAGAATCCCATCTGCATAAAAAGGTGCCACGAACCAACACGTCTGAGAACGAAGTGACGAATGAGAGAAGCCAAGAAACTCAAACTTGCGGCCTGCGATGTTGATTCCGTTTTTCAAGACACCTTTGAAGCGTTGTTGGAATATCAGGTCAATAGATGCGCGCGGGTCATATCGGACAGGGTCTCCGCTTTCGTCCATAAATTCGACACGGAGGAAATGGTCGACATGATTAGCATAGCGGCGCAAAACTCGATTCTTGGATTCCATGTAAGGCCCATCCAAGTAAATACCACAAGGCGTGACCTGAACACGGTGGATGGAGACATGATTGGGGTTGGTATGGCGATTGGTGCTGGCCATCTTGTGCTCGCGGACGGCGGCTTCAAGGGCATTTCTGAACGTTGCTACTAGCGCAGACACGTCGACTTCAGATGGTTCCACGTCTGGGGACGGCCACTTTATATTCTGCCGCAGCCTCATCAACGCTTGAACGACGACATCCAGATTTTCAGTAACCAGTGCAGCTTGGACACGGGATGCAAACGAAATTGCTTTGGCGGGCGATATGTCACCGTTCCACACAAGTTTTTGTAACTGAAATCTGACCTGGTATGGAAGACGCTCCTGAGATAAGAAGGCCATCAACCTCTGCATCAAGGTGGAGTACGGCACGTCGTACTGTGCGCGATGGTCCAGCCATCTAGCAATATGGGGGATATGGTGCTCATTGCCAAGGTCTCGAACAGCATTGAGGTCGCTTGCATCCCTCAAGAGAAATCGATAGACAAAGCAAGTACCGGCGAGATACTCGTGTTCATCGCCGAAATGGCCAACTCTAGTTTTTGGAGGAGGCCCTCGCTGCCATTTCGGTCGGGATGGAAACATAGCACCAAATTTGGCTTCTAACACATCTGTTGGATCAGTCTTGTATAGTCTCGGGGCAGTATTAGCCGTGATGGTTATAGAAGGTGCCTTAGTCGTGCTAGTGTAGATCGATCCGTGTATATTGAAGTAGGTGAATTCAAGATGATAGATAATATCGTGCATCGTCTCAAGCGCAACCCGGATAGCAGTTTTACCAAACGCGATCTTGCCATTCTTCCCGGAGCGATAACATTCAATAAACACCGGATTTCCCTCGTGATAATCCCACATACCACAGGACATAGAAGTGATGGAGAAGCTCTTGAGCCGTTTGACAGGCGCTGGCTGGTGATAGGCCTGCACATTGCCGGAGACTGCCCCTCGCGAAAGCCTGGTTTCTTCCTCATTTATTAATGTGCGAAG